GTTCATATAAGGTTTCTAGTCTTTCAAACAATTCTTTATCTGTGTTATCTGGAGGAAAGTTAAAATAAAAGATGTACTGTATATTATGTCTGATCAACATATAAAGGCTGATTATGGGGAATAGAAAAGTCCAGCCAAAAACAAAGGGAAGGGGAGGAGGAACAGATGGCAGGAAGATGGACTACTCTTTCTAAAAACCTTCATTCTCTCTTTAATTCGTCAAGCTGCAAGAATTGGAACAGCTGCAGGATGCTTATCAGGCCAAAGATTGTTGCTGAAGCATGTTCAATTCAATCCATATGAGTTTTTCAAGCAGAAGCTTTGAATATAAATACTCCTTTGGTGCTATTTTGAACACTTCTCCAAACAGTGATCTCCTGGGTCATTTAGGAAAATGAGTGAAAGGGTAAATCCTTCTGGCAAAGAGATTTGTGTGAGAGATTCACTTAAGTACTGTGGCAGAAAAAGCTCATAAAATGGGGCGTCACAACCACTGTCTTGCTTAGCAATGAACATTTTGGGCTCCATTGTGGTCGTAAGTCGAAGACCACCTGTATGAAGCTAATGATAGCTTTATCAAAGCAAACTTAAAAGCCCCTGAAGACAGCAAACAGGATCCTTTTAATACAATATAACATTTTATAGCAAGATAAACTGTAAAGTGGGTTCTCATAAAGAGTTAAGGCATCCGAAGCCAACACAATTACATTATTGTTTAACCATGACAGCCCAATTAACAAAACTGTAAGTCAGGATGTGATTTGTATGGTTTTGCTTCAGCTGTTGAGACTTGTTAGACATGTAGCCTGGAAGCTAGTTCCACGTTTCCCACATAATTTGAAATTTGGTTTTCATGGGGTGTTTTAGACAGTACATATGACAGCATAAAGTTTACAAGTCTCAACAGCTGAAGCAAAACCGTACAAATCACATCCTGACTTACAGCTTTGTGTTAATCGGGCTGTCATGGTTAAACAGTAATGTAGTTGTTTTGGTTTTGGATGTGTTAGCTCTTTATGAGAACCTACTTTACAGTTTATCTTGCTATAAAATGCTATATTGTATTAAAAGGATCCTGTCTGCTGTCTTCAGAGGTTTTAAGGCTGCTTTGACAAAGCTATCATTAGCTTCATACAGGTAGTCTTCAACTTATGACCACAACTGAGCCCAAAACCACTAAGCAAGACAGTGGTTGTGAGTTTTGCCCCATTTTAGGAGCTTTTTGGCCACAGTTGTTAAATGAATCATGCGGTTGTTAAGTGAATCTTTCAAACAAATCTGCTTGCAAGAAGGATTTGCCTTTTTTACTCATTTTCCTTAATGACCCAGGAGATCACTGTGTGGAGAACAATGTCCAAAATAGCATTTTAGCTCAAGCCAAAGGAGCGTTTATATCCAAAACTTCTGCTTGACAAACCCACATGGAGAGAGTTGAACAGGCTTCAGCAGCAATCTTTGGCCTGGTCATCATCCTGTAGCTGTTTCCTAAAAGGGGCCTCAATTTTTGCAATCTCCCCTAGCCCCTCCCCGTATTCTTCTTTGGCCTATTCTTCTCTCTCAGGTAAACGCTGGAGGGAGGAGGGGAGGGAAGAAAGGCAGGAGTTGGTGGAGAACAGACTGGGTGGTGGTGGAGAAGTAAGAAGAAAAACAGAAACTTTCAAAAGAGGAGGGAAAAAAGAAGCTTTCTCCCTCTGCCCCTCCGACCCCCCATTCTACAGGCCCACTTTTTGCCAAGAAGAAGGAACAGCTGCGATAAACCTATCTAGAAGGATGGAGGGAAATGGCTGAAGGCAACCAACAGTATTGCGAGGTCTCTTATTACCTTACCGTGAATTCCTACCCTGAGCTCCAGCCCCGCCCAGGAGTAACAGAAAACCAGGGCATTTTAAGAGTCAACAGCTGAATAAGTGGAATTTCGCTGCCTCTATTTCACTTCATTCCCACAACCTCAGAAAGGCAAGGGAGACTTTGAGCAAGCCAGGGAGTTAAACCTGACTTAGCCAGGGAGGAAAGATTTTCTGTTTCTGGCCGCTTGTCTTCTCTGGAAAAGAAAGACTAGCAAGGCAAGGAAAACAGCTTCGCCAGAGACTCAAGCAAAAAACGGGTGCTTCTGCCATGCAGTCCAGCAGTGGAGTGGCCTCTCCTTGGATACACAACCTCCTGAGCTCTGAAGCTCTTGAAAAGGCAAGTGGGCAATGAGTGATGGGAGCAATCGGTGGATGCAGGGGGTGGACTCAGAGATGGCCCAGAACACGGGGAGAGAAACATGGGGCATCTCGGTGAGTGAGGGAAGAAGGCTGGAGCACTTGTCCAAGCATCCATATTCCTCTTCAGCCTCTTCTTCCCTCAGGTAAAAGCTGGAGGGAGGAGGAGCAGGGAAGGAGGGCAGAGGACAGACTGGAGTGGGGTTGATGGTTGGGGGGCAGTAGTGGAGAAGTAAGAAAAAATGGAGACTTTCAAGAGAGGAGGAAAGAAAGAAGGTTTCTACTGGGGCGACCTGAGATAAACAGTGCTTATTTTTCTATCTAAATCTCCATAAATATACTTGTACGCAGGAAAGAAAGAAAATCCAGGGTCTAGCATCTAGCAATGAAAGGGAAATGGCTTCCTCAGAAAAATAGCTCTCTGTCTCTCTCTTCCCCTCCCCACTTCTCCCCCTCCCACATCCAGGTACAGGAGAAAGAGTTGTGGTGGTAAAACTATCCAGAAGAAGGTGGGAGAATGTGGCTTCTTGTTGCTTTGTCCTCTCTATCATGAAAGAGATGAAAGAATCCCGCACTCTAGCTCCTGCCAGGAACAAGGAACGGTCATTTTAAGTGGCAGCAGATAACATATAATCAGAGTTGGAAGGGACCTTGTAGGTCATCTAGTCCAACCCCCTGCCCAAGCGGGAGACCCTACACCATTTCTGACAAATGGCAGTCCAATCTCTTCTTGAAGGTCTCAAGTGATGGCGCTCCCACAACTTCCGAGGACAAGCTGTTCCATTGGTTGATTGTTCTCCTTATTTCCAGGTTAAATCTCTCCTTGTTCAGTTTCTATCCATTATTCCTTGTCTGGCTTTCTGGTGCTTTAGAAAATAGCTTGACCCCTTCCTCTCTGTGGCAGCCCCTCAAATATTAGAAGACTGCTATCATGTCTCCCCTGGTCCTTCTCTTCACTAGACTAGCCAAGCCCAGTTCCTGTAACCGTTCTTCATGTTTTTGTCTCCAGTCCCCTAATCATCCTGGTTGCTCTTCTCTGTACTTTTTCTAGAGTCTCAACATCTTTTTTATAATATGGTGACCAAAACTGAATGTAGTACTCTAGGCGTGGTCCTACTAAGGCTTTATAGAGTGGAATTAGTACCTCACTCAATCTCGACTTATTCCTCTGTTAATGCAAGTTAGGATTGCATAGCTTTTTTGGCTGCTGCTGCACACTGCTGGCTTATATTTAACTGGTTGTCCACTAAGACTCCAAGATCCCTCTCACAGTTACTGCTATTGAGCCTGGTTTCACCCAGTCTATATGTGTACTTTTGGTTTTTCTTGCCTAAGTGTAAGACTTTACTTTTCCCTACATTGAATTTCATTTTGTTAGATACGGCTCAGTGTTCTAGTCTGTCAAGATCCATCTGGATCTTGAGCCTATCTTCTTGGGTGTTAGCTATTCCTGCCAGCTTAGTATCATCTGCAAATTTGGTAAGTTCTCCTTCTATTCCCTCATCTAAGTCGTTAATGAAGATATTGAAGAGTACTAAAAACTTGTGGCACCCCACCGCTTACTTCCCTCCATGTAGACCTTAGACCCATTAAGGACTACTCGTTGAGTACGGTTTGCCAGCCAGTTGCGAGTCCATCTAGTGGTGGTGCTATCTATTCCATTTTTTTCTAGCTTACTAAGAAGTAGGATGTGGTCTACTTTGTCAAATGCCTTGCTGAAATCTGAATATATTATGTCCACAATATTTCGCTGGTATACTAATTTAGTCATTATGTTGAAGAATGAAATAAGATTGGTTTGGCATGATCTGTTCTTAACAACCCATGCTGACTGCTGGTTATTACTTTACTTGTTTCTAGATGTTGGCAGATCTGTTTTTTTATTATCTTTTCCAGTATCTTCCTGGGTATTGATGTTAGGCTGATTGGTCTATAGTTTCCTGGTTCTGTTTTTTCCCCCTCCTTTTTTGAAGATGGGAACCACATCATCTCTTTTCCAGTCCTCTGGTAGTTCCCCGGTGCTCCAGGATTTTTGAAAGATATGGTGCAGTGGTTCTGAGATGAACTCTGCCAGCTCCTTTAAAACTCTGGGATATAATCCATCAGGCCCCTGCAATTTGTTTTCATCAAGATCAGACAGGTGTTCTTTTACTATTTTTTTTTACTTATTTTAACTTTTATTTCTGGTCTGTCTTTTACAGTTATGTTTTTGATGGGTTGAGCTTTTGTAGATGAGTAGCAGGAGAGCAAACCACTTGGCTGTTTCCCTCCCGTGATTTCAGCAAGGGCAGGGAATAAAAGGGTTAGCCAGCTTGGAGGATTTCTCTTGCTTGCCCCTTGCCTTTTGCTGGAGGAGCTGAAGAAGCTTCTTGCATGAGAAATGAAACACCTTCACAGAAAAACCAGAACCTCCAGTTGCCTCTTGAAAAAATAAAAAAAAAACACCTTTGGGACAACCAAGACCTGGATGACTGTGAATCTCTGTAAACATTTAGCTAGCAAAGAAAGGGAAAAAAGCTTCGCCAGAGACTCAAGCAAAAGATGGCCGCTTCTGCCACGTGGTCCAGCAAGCAGAGGACTCTCCTTCAGAATACAACTTCCCGACCTCTGGAACCCCTGGAAAGGCAAGTGATGGGAGCAATCAGTGGGGCCAGAGGGTGGGAAGAGAAGCATGGGGTATCTCAGTGAGTGGGGGGTGGGGGGTGGAGCACTCCTAGGATCTCCCCCACTCCTGAAGCATCCTCATATTCCTTCTTCCCTCTCTCAGTTGAAAAGCTGAGGGGAAGGGAAGAAGGGTAGGAATCGGTAGAGAATAGACTGGAGCAGTGCTAGATAATCTGTAGGAGAAATGGAGAAAAATGGAGACTTTCAAGATAGGAGGAAAGAAAGAAGCTTTCTACTGGGAAGTTTGGGCACACTGGTTTAAATGTTTGTTTTTCTACCTAACTCCCTGTAAATATACACAGTAAAGAAAAACACCCATGTGGTCTTTGTCTCTTTCTGTCTCTCTCCCCTTCTCAGAAGCAGTTGCTGTGCTTAAAACCATAGGCCAAACTTTCAGGCTTGGTGGAGGTGGCGGGGGAGAGGGTTTTATGTGAGCTGAATGCCAGAGTGTTAGGAATATAAGTCACCTAACAGGTATTTGGGTTAGAAATATGTAAACCAGGATAAACATTTTAGTACTATGTCTTTAAGAGATTGCAAAAACTGTAATTAGGTGTGGTTTTTCAAACGGCCATAAGATGGAGCCAGAAACCTGGGTTTTTTAAGTCTTAGTCTCAGAAGAGCATGTGTCTGAGTGAGTCTCTGTTTTTCATTCTGTTGGAAAGTATTTTCTCCATTTCTTCTAATTAACCGATATTTCTGGATTTAATGTAAGTCTGATACTGAACTTTTTTTTGACACTGGACTTTATTACTGAATTATCCCTGGATTGAAAAACTGACTGATTTACCTGTGAATGACTTTGGATTGGGTATTTTGGACTTTGCTTAAACTTTCTGGAAGTAGAAACCTACATTTACTGTACAGTGTATCTGTGTACTGTGTGTGCCTTATTCAAACACTACTCTCTATACGTCTCCCTGTATGCGCTCATTCTCCTAACGGGGAATTACCTCAACACAGAGGGTGAGGGAGTATGCTGAAGAGAGCAGGCCTCAGGGTTGATTTGATTTAAATGAAGTCAATTTAAATCACGATTTTAATCTCAATTTTAATAAGCCTTGATTTAAATCAACTCTATTTAAATCATAATTTTTAAAGAGCAACTGTCACCTCTTCCTGCAGCAGCTCCTCCTCTGACCTGCTGTTGACTCACTGACAGTCCCAATATTACAAAATATACAGCCTCATGGTACATAACAAAGCTCCATTTCATGCTGAATAAACTAAATTATTAATGTATCTTAAATAGAAAACTATCTTTAGATAGACTTTTACTCCAAAAGCATTTTATCAAAATAAATTTGATAAAAAAAACCAATTTAAATTTTAAAAATCTGACTTTTGGTGGTGCTTCCATTGGAGACGGACCGAAGACCATGATTGTGCATGGCTTCAATTTGTGCTTACCCTGTCGGAGGGTCCCAAGCAGGACCAGATCCGCTTCATAGGGATGGGGAAAGAGGGGGAGACCTCCAGCTGGGTTGAGGGGAGCTGCATCTCCCCTCCCTGGCTAGGTATACTCCCTTTGAAGACAGGAGGTAGCAGCAGTCTTTAATGGCTGCCGTAAAGATGGGAAGCTACCTGGGACCTAAGTGAGTGCTGGAGCAGTGCAGTGAGCGACATGTGACCAGGCAAAACACCTTGGATTTTTGCAAGATAACCCCAAGAAACAGAAGGAAAGAAACCTCGTTTAAAATTATGGCAGCGGCAAATGGAAAGTAAAAGGAAATTATAAGGTAGACAAAACTGAACTATAAAAGTACTATAACGGAATCAGAGACTAATCTTGGAATAAGATACAGAAATTGGCATTAATTAGGCATTGGCTAGAATGCTGGACTTGTTGGAATTGATTATATTTAAAGCAGGGGTGGGATTCAAATTTCTTAACAACCGGTTCTGTGGGCGTGGCCTAATTTGTGGGTGTGGCTTGGTGGTCATGTGACGGGTGGGAGTGGCTTGCTGACTGGGCATGGCTACATAGTCATGTGACTTGGGTGGGCATGGCCATGTGGCTGCACACCCAAATTTAAGTGCTCCTCGCTTAATGACCAGGTCTCGCTTAGTGTCCAATTGCTTAGCAAGTGCTTTTTGTGAGTTGCCAAGGCCTGGGGAGGCCCAGGCAAGGCCCGGGCAGGTGGCCATGTGGCTGGACACCCAAATTTAAGTGGTCCTCACTTAATGACCAGGTCCTTGCTTAGTGGCCAATTGCTTAGCAAGTGCTTTTTGCCAGTTTCCAAGGCCTGGGGAACCCTGGAGAGGGCAAGGCAAGGTGTGGGCAGCTACGGGGAGGGCTGCAGAGGGCTGGGCGAGGCCAACTCAACACCACTTCTTTGCCCTAATGATTAAGTATTAAAAAAGATATACCAAAACAAAAGGTAGTTTATTATGTTATGTCTTTAATGGTTAAATAATAAAAAGGCACACAAAATTATATTGTTACAACATTTTAAAATATTAATCAAAACTATTACATAACAAAACTTTACAAAAAACAATAAAACTTATTTAAAGTACTCCCAAATTGCTTTTCTATTATCGTCCCAAGTTACAGTTTTCTTGTGTATAACACGAGCATCATCAGCTGTGTGATGATGTGCTGGCTCTGCTTTCCTCAGACTCCAATGGTTGTGGTTGTGACTTTTTTGGATCTCCTTTTGTTTTCTTGCTGAAGAAAGCAGACAAACTCATTTGCCTTTTCATCTCGCAATATGCTGCAAAAAAATTAAACAGTGTAGTGGTTTGGATTCGATTGTTGTTGTAAGTTGAGTGGTGAAGGCAGTGGCAAGCAAAGAAAGCAGGCAAGGAACTGAGATCAGTAATATTCAGTTACTTTTAAGAGTCCCTGACACTATAGCTAGTTAGTGTTTAAAAGATGTTTTGGAAGAGGAACAAGTTTCACTAGACAAGAATGAGACGGAACTGAAAGTGGATTTGAAAATGACAGTCTATAAAAAAGACGTTGCACGGTGTATATAAAAGAATGGCTGATATTTTCATAATTACAATTCATTAATTGAAAAAGAAACACTTAAAATGGAAATACTATTAACAAACCAAGGGAGTTTGTTATTTTGTGCCAGTAGTGGCACAAAAATCTTTCCTAGCCGGCTTCCGGTTTTGCGCGGCTTCGGTAGCGGCAGGAATTCGCACCTCTGCGATCCCTGCCGCGTTCGCCACCAAGGTGCCCCCGATCTAAATAGGTCTGGGGGCTATGGCTGCCTTGTAGAGGCAGCCGAAGAGAGAGGGGACCCGGACAGAGGTTTGGGGGTAACGCAGACCCCCTTTCCAGCCAGAATAACCCCTTTTTCCTGAGGTGGTGGAGCGGCGGTCAGTAATGGCCGCCTCAAAGAAGCCAGCAGCCGGGTAAGATTTGTGCTGGAGGAAGAGGGAAGAGCTGTGGAAGTTGCTTCTGACTGGGATAAAGTTAAGAGAGAGAGTTCCTGTAACCTGGAAGGCTGCTAAGGATACTTTGTTTCTAGAAAGAGATACAAGCGGCAAACATTTCAAAAGAATAAGTTTTTTTGTTTTTTGTTTGCCTTTCACTCTCCTCCCTAACGTGACAGCAGTGGAACTATAAGAGAAATCCGGGAATCTGTTCTGGAGGTAAATGAATATTGAAGGAGCAAGGATTTCTGAATATTCAAAGGGGGGGGGGGGGAAAGAAGAAGAATTTTTTTTTTTTGGCTGTGAGTGGGAAGGGAGAGGAAAAAAAAAATTGGAGCAACCTGAAAATAAGGAGAAGACTGCCTAAAACTTTAAAGAGCTAATTTTAAAGAGCTATTAAACAGCAATAAGATTTCCTAAAGATATATTTTAAAGAGAACTTTGTGATCAAACTTTATCCCAAAAAGAGAAAGTGGAAAAAGAGAAAGTATCAAAAAGAATCAGCTGATTGGACTGTTTGATGACTTTGGATTTTATGAGAATTATCTCAGACTAAAAGCACTCGGGTGGTTGTTTTGAAAAAAAATTTTCTCTGTACAATGGCATCAGTTGTGGATGAACTAGAACTTATACACCAAAAATATGAAAGAGAAAAGCAAGAAGGGAAAGATGTCTTTGGCACTCTTTTTCAGTTTATAGAAATGGCGGTCTGTGCTTATGTAAAATCGTATGAGCAGGATAAAGAAGAAGCCATTTTTGAAGAACATGTGACTTTGGTTGGGGAAGAAAAGAAGGAGGAGAAAAAGGAGAAGAAGACTTTAAGACCTGGGAAAACAATCCAAAAAGAGAAGAATAAGGTGAAAAGAGGATATCGTGTTAGGAAACAACAGAAAGAGGGAAAACAGGATAAAAGGGAGGTGGAGAGACAAGGGGGTAAAGAGGATAAGGAGAAGAAGAAGCAAGGGAGAAAGGAAGGGATGAGAAGCTTTAATGGTGGGGAGCAAAATGCAAAAAAACAAAAGTTTTTTAGAGATAATGGATAGATTTTATTGTTAATGGGATTCTAGAAAGGTACATAAGATTGCATTTTTATATTTGTATTTAGAAATAATTATAGAAGACTGGAAATAATATGCAATTTAAAATGTGATAAATATTTAGTATAATTTAGTGAAATTTTTGTTAAGAGAGGGGAGTACTTTAATGAAATAATGATTTAAGATCGGTGATGGGGGGGGGGGAATAATTTTGGAAAGTATAAGAAGTGTTCCCATAAAGGTATGATAATTAATTGAAATGTGTAAAATGTCTAAAGATATAAATGATTGTTAATACCAATGATTAGGCTATGTTATACTAGTGAAACTATTCGTGAAATGAGAGGTTTGAAGAAGGAGAGGGGAACATGTAATGTAATAATGATTTATAATATGTGATGTGGGGGGTGGAATTAATATGGCAAATAGGTGCTCCCATAGAAATATGTGACCTAATTGATAAGAAATGTGCTAGATGTTTAAGATATGAATAAATATTAATATTAATGAATAGATTTGTATTGGTTTTGATGATATTGTATAATGTCAGAATGTACCAGACAGAATCCCAACGTAAGTTATGTACTTTAAATCAAGTATTATAAATATAGGGGAAAGGGACATAGGCGTCATACTCCAATCAGTGTACAGGAGAAGGTTTTTCTTTTTTTTTTCTTTTAAGAAGAAAGACAAACGGATAGTTGGAAATAGAACAGACAAAGAATAAATATTATGATTTGAATTGAGAGGAGATAAATAAAATAAAATTGAGAAAATTTAAAAGAAAGGAGAAGCTATATAGAAAAATGAAAATGTAATAAGATATGGAATGGTATGTAAAATGAATATGAATTTGAATGTGTGTCTGTACCAAGAGTTTTGACCCGGGATTAAGCAACTTTCAGAAAAGAGATCTTTTATGTTTTTATGTCTTGAATTTTTGTATGTTTTGTATGTCTTTAAAAATTAATAAAAATTTGTTCCAAAAAAAAAAAAATCTTTCCTAGCCAACACTACTTACCTGGACCAACAGTCCCTAATGGAATGTTCTCTCTATAAGCAGAGAGAGAAAAGCCAGGGGAAGCCATGTTTGGTCACCTAACCTTTTTAGAATGCAGCTTAAAAATATACTGAAGCTTTTTACAGCCTTATGCAGATATATATGGTACAAAAAAGAGATAACAGTACAAAATCATCTAAGAAGTTAGATTACGAATGGAATTGATAGGCATATTCACAGAGCAATACTGAATTCTTTTTCTGAAATTTATTCCTCAGTTTAAAAAACTGGAATATATGAATTCAGTATTGGGCACTGCTAGTGTAGCTATTCAAGAGGATATAGTGTCAAGGTTAGCAAAAATGGTAAAGCAACATATAGATTTAAATTTTAAAACCAGAAATATTTTTGTTGGTAACCACATAAATAAAGGGAGTACAATACATATTTAATGTTACACGTGTTAACAGTGGCTAGAATTATTTTTTCACAACAGTGGAAAAATGAAGAGATCTCCATAGATGAAAATGAATTTACAATGTGCAGAAATCAATAGAAATAAGAGGTAGAAATTAGGCAGAGAATGATCATTGCTATGTATGAATTAAATACAGAAGGTTGATAATTATAAACATGTTGATATAATTAACAAAATTAGAAATAAGTCAATACAAAGAAATTTAAATAATTTTCTGTTACACTGCTGTACTTATTGATATTTGTTTCTGCTTTGTTTTTTCATTTATGAAATATTTTATAATACTTTATAACAGTGGTCCCCAACCACCGGGCCCCGGACCGGTACCGGTCCGTGGATCATTTTCTACCGGGCCGCCAGTTCGCCATCTTGTTTCGAGAAAGTGCTTGAGAAAGTGCTTCCGGGTGAGCTTGTCAGTCGTCGGTTATTGGAAAGCATCGTTTGGGTGCTGAAGGAATCCTTCCGCCTTAGTGTCATCAAAGGGGGGGGGGCAGCTTTGAACGAAGAGCTGTCCCGATGGCGGTGGAGTCTCACGTTACTCAGGAGGAGATTAAGAAAGAGCTCGAAAAGCACAAAAAAGGTACAAAGGAGGAGTTGAAGGTGGCGGGGAGAAGCGGGGGACGGCTGGCTGGCCGGTCGCTTAGCTCGCCTTGCCTTGGTCGTGCGTGCTGATGCTGGTACTGGTCCGTGGATCATTTTGTGATGCCGGTACCGGGCCGTGTTATATTATGATTAAAAAGTGAGGAATGAAAATTAATATAATTAAATATAATTTGATAGGCTAAATTTGGTTAAATGTAAACAAAGAGGAAATATGTTTTTGTTATATACATTTTATGCTAGACATGAAATAGAAAATGTAATTGATTATGCAAAGGATATTAGAAAAACAGAGAATATGGTATACCAGAAATGATTATATTGTAAAGTAAAAGTATTTGTAATGAAATTATTATGATTAAAAAGGTGAGGAATGAAAACTTAATAAAATTACATAGGTAAGATTTGATTAAATGGAAACAAAGAGGAAATATGAAATGGTTATATGAATATCTCTGGAATAAATATAAGAATTATTGTAGATTGGGGGGAAATACCATGTGGATCCTGAATATATTAGTTTGTTTTATTCTTGTTTTTTTTTAATTATACATTGGCTTTGAGAAAGTTAAAGAAGATAATATGTAAAATAAAATAGGTGGTAAGCTGGAAATGAAAATAATAGGGGATAATGAGTGAAAATATGCTTGAGGATGAAATGTTTGTGCTATTGCATTATTTGAAAAAATGAACTATTTAAAGATCAATGGAATAGATATCGATTTGATATGAAACTAGATAAGAAAGCTGGAAACGTAATTATGATTATGTATGTATGTTGTAACCTGGAAACACATTGCTCACTTGAGATGTATAAGAAATAAAAAATAAAAAATTTCTATAAATTTAAAAAAATCTTGATTTTTAATTTTTTTTTTTTTAAATCGAGTTTTATCCATCCTGGAGGGCGTCCTGCCTGCAGCGCCCATGCTGGCTGCCCCTTTCTGCCCAGAGCTGGAATGCTGCCATGGTTAAGTGTCGGTAGATGCCAGCCCTCCCTCTGGTGGGCGTGGGCAACTGCTGGAAAGAGATGGGCCTGTTTTAGCATCTGGTGCCCAGATGCCCTCACTTCCTCCAAGCATTTATTTCATGTTTTCACCTGATTTCCAGGTCCAATGTGTTTCTCCGTCGCATTTCTCGCCGTCCTGTGCAGGGAAACAAGTTTGTGGGACTAAAAAAAAAAAAAAGTTCAATCAATTTCAGCTTCGTGAGATCTTTTTTTTCTGTGAGAAGTTGGAATTGATTGAACTTTCTTTTTTTTTTAGTCCCACAAACTTGTTTCCCTGCACACGACGGTGAGAAATGTGATGGAGAAACACATTGGACCTGGAAATCAGGTAGGCAAAGAAATGCTTGGGGGAAGTGAGGGCACCTGGTAGGTGGGACAAGCTCCACAGCATGGGACTGCGCTGCAATGGAGAAAGGAGAAGTGGAGTGGCCAGCACAAGGGAAGGAGGCCGCTTTCCCTCTTTCTTCTCCCTGCTCCTCCTTCCCTCATGCCAGCCGCTTCATGTCCCATCTCTCCATTGCAGCGCCCAGGATCCACTTTGATAGTGGGGGTAATTTTAACAACCGGTTTGCCCAGGATCAGATTGGCCATTGCGGAAGGCTCGTTCTGCATCTGTGGCGTAGCTGGAGGATGGGGATGGACCATGCCTCCCACAACAACCAACCTGCCTCTGGGGTCCATTACATTCATAACTCAAGGATGGGAATTCAACCCTTTTGACATAAAGTGGATGACAGAATGTTGATTTTATTGCTCCTCTGCCAAAAGGTTGCCCAATTTATTGATGGCAATTAAAAAAAAAAACTTTGCATGACAAATTATTTTCTGCTGCATGCTTTTTAAGAGGCTGTGCCTTACATATAAAAAGAGATTCTTTGAAATTAGTAACCATTTGCCAGCTTCTGTAAGCATCTTGGCCCTCCTTCTTGTGACAGTCCCATTTCCAATTCCAGATTATACAGATCCAGGAATGCAGAATATGGATGTCGAGAATCCTCCTCCCAAAGGATCCGCATCTGAACAGGAAGGAGAACCAGGTATTAATAACAGTATCAAGATCTGGAAGCCACTCACCCAAACGAGGGATTGAAATATCCAAGCCATGACCACCAGAGCATACAGAGCAATCCAAAACACATACCCTGTCCCTAACTGGACTTTCAGAATAAGAATCAGAATAGAAGTGGCAGGCACCTTAAAGATCTTCCAGTCCAATCCCCAGCTTAAGAAAGCCCTATTCCATTTCAGACAGTTGGCTGTCCAGTCTTTTCTTAATACAACTTCTGAAGGCAAGCTCTTTCACTGGTGCTTTGGAAAATAATTAGACCTCCTCTTCTTTGTGGCTGCTCCTCAAATACGGGAACACTGCTATCATGTCACCCTGGTCCTTCTTTTTGCTAGACTGGCCAATTCCTGCAACCGTTCTTCATATGTTTTGTCTCCAGGCCCTTAATCATCTTAATTGTTTTTCCAAAGTCTCAATATATTTCTTGTAATGTGGTGACCAAAACTAGATGTGGTATTCCAGGTGTGGTCTTACTAAGGATTTATAAAGTGATAACTTTTCTCTAAATGTTCGCAGATCCGTTTTTTTAAAGTATTTTTTCCAGTATCTTCTCCTTCCCCCTGGCCCCCCTTTTTTTTAAAAAGATGGGAACCACATCAGCTCTTTTCCAATCCTTTGGTAGTTCCCCAGTGCTCCAAGATTTTTGAAAGATATGGTGCAGTGGCTCTGAGATGACATCTGCTAGTTCCTTTAGAACTCTGGAATATAATCTATCAGGTCCCAGTGATTTATATTCATCAAGATCAGACAGGTATCGAAAGAAGGTGGAGCCTCCTCGCTGACAGACCATAGATCGCATCTCTTTGCGGCTATGGTCCATGCTCTTTCGTTGGAGAGCCCCGACCATTACGATTAGGGGCTGAAGCTGCCTTGGAGGGGCGGTGGAGTAAGGGGAAGCCACAAGCCAGGTTGAGGGGAGCTGCATCTCCCCTCCTGGGCTTGGTCTTTTTCCCCCTGAAGACGACTGAAGCGGTGGTTTAAAATGGACACCACAAAGAGGAGGACTCAGCTGGATTAAGATTTGTGCAGGAGGGAGGTTTCCGGTTTGCTAGCCTTCGGCGGCGGCAGGGATTTGCAACCGCGCGATCCCTGCTGTGTTCGCCGCCAAGGTTCCCCCGATCCATTTGGATCTGGGGTATATAGCTGCCCCGTAGAGGCAGCTGAAGACAGGGGGGATCCGGCAAGGGGTTTGGGGGTGCCGCAAACCCCCTCCCCAGCCGGCTAAACTCCCTTTTCCCGAGGCGGAGGAACGGCGGTCAGTAATGGCCGCCACGAAGAAAGCTGCAGCCGGGTAAGCAAGTGCAGGAGGGAGAAAGCTGGAGAAAGTGAAAGGTGCTTTTAACCGGGACAAGATGGGAGAAAGTGATTTGGAACCTTGAAAGCTGTTAAGGATATATTGTTCCTTGTGAGAGCCACAAGCTGCGAATACCCTAAAGGGGAAAGTTTTTTTTTCTTTGTTCTAATCTCCTTCCTAAAGTGACAGCGGGAAAAAAAAATCTTTTTGGCTGTGAGTGGGAAGGGAGAGTGAAAAAAAAAATCAGAGCAAAATTTGAAAATAAGGAGAAGATTGCCTAGAATTGCAAAGAGTTTAAAAACTTCCAAAAATATATTTGAAAAGGATTTGTGATTACTTTAACCTCAGAAAGAAAAAGTGAAGAAGAAGAAGGTATCTAAAAGAAACAGTCTGTTTGGATTGTTTGGTGATTTTGGAACCTTTGGAAATTATTTCTGATTAAATCATCTGGGTGGTTGTTTGGAAAAACTTCTTCTCTACACAATGGCATCACCTGTGGATGGATTGGAACTTATATATCAAAAATATGAAAGAGAAAAACAAGGAGGGGAAGATGGACTTGGCACTATTTTTCAATACTTAGAAATGGCGGTTTATATTTATGCGAAGCAGAATGAGGATGATGGGGACAAAGAAGAAGAAGAAGCCATCTTTGATGAAAAAAGGACTTTGATTGGAGACGGGAAAAAGCAAGAGAAAAAGGAAAAGAGGTCTTTAAGATCTGAAAAAACAGCCCAAAAAGAGAAGAATAAGGTGAAAAGGGGACATTATGTTAAGAAACAACAGAAAGGGGGAAAGCAGAATAAAAGGGAGGTGGAGAGACAAGGGGTTAAAGAGGACAAGGAGAAGAAGAAGCAAGGGAGAAAGGAAGGGATGAGAAGCTCTAATGGTGGGGAGCAAGATATTAAGAAGCAAAAGTTTTTCAGAGATAATGGATAGATCTTATTGTTAATGGGATTCTAGAAAGGTACACAAGATTGCATTTTTATATCTGTATTTAGAAGTAATTATAGAAAATTAGAAATAATATGTAGCTTAAAATGTGATAAAATATCTAACATAAATAAGTGAAATTTTTGTTAAGAAAAAGAGAGTACTGTAATGAAACATGATTTTAGATTGTGATGTAGGGGGTAATAATCGTGGAAAGCATAAGTGTTCCCACAAAGGCATAATATTCAATTGAAATGGATAAAATATTTAAGATATAAATGATTGTTAAAATTAATGATTAGAACATGGTATACTAGCAAATTTTTTTGTGAAATGAGATTTGAAGTAGAAAAAGGAGGAACATTTCAATGAAATATTGAGCTATAATATGTGATGTGGGGGGGGGGATAATTATGGAAATAGGGCTCTCATAAAAGTATGTGATTTAATTGAAAAGTAATGAGTTAAACGTCTAAGATATGAATGAATATTAATATTAATGAATAGATTTGTATTATTTTTGATAATATAGTATAATTTTAGAATGTACCAGATAGAATCCCAATGTATGTTATGTATTTTATATTAGGTACTATAAATATAAGGGAAAAAGATAAAGGCATCATCTCCATATAGTGTACAGGAGAAGTATTTCTTCTTTTTTTTAAAGAAGAAAAATAAATGATTGGCTGGAATAGAACAGACAAAGAATAATAAATATTACGATATGAATTGAGAGGAGATAAAAAAATAAATAAAATAAAATTGAGAAAATTTAAAGGAGAGGAGAAGTTATATAGAAAATTGAAAATGTTAATAAGATATGAAATGGTATGTAAAATGAATATGAAACTGAACTTGTGTCTGTACCAAGAGTTTTAACCCGGGACTAAGCAACTTTCAGAAAAGAGATTTTTTATGCTTTTATGTTTTGTGTTTATGTGTATTTATGTATTGTTTGTCTTGAAAATAAAACTTGTTTAAAAAAAAAAAGATTTGTGCAGGAGGGAAGAAAGAGGTGGATAACATCTGAACCGGGACAATTGGGTAATACAACTAAACAAAAGTACCCCAGGGATTAAGGTAACATGGAATTTTTAAGAAAAGAAAAGTAAGCGGCGAAATTACAAAGGGACAGGAAAAAAAAAAGAAAATATTTTTGACAGCTAAGCGGGGCTTCGAACCGGGAAAGGAAGAAGCCGGAACTAAAGATTTAACTAAATTGGACTAAAATATTTTGGCAATAAACAGGCATAAAATAAAGCTGGACTTAAGATTGTCAAAAATAATAATAATAAAGTTTACAAATTGGAGACTGGACTGTGCTGGAATATTGAGGTTCGAGAAACCCTAAATAAAAAAATAGGGGAAAAAGGTGAAAACTTTGTATAATGGAGAGTGCCACCTTTTGACAAAAACTTGAGCTCAAACATCCTGTTTCTGAATGAACTTGTGTGGATATAATATTAAAGAAATATTGAAACAAAGTAAGAATCTTAGAAAGTGAAAGCAGAACTAGAATAAAGAAAAATGCAAGGAAAGACTGACTGTGGGATTGATTGGTGTTTTTGGTATAGACCCTGGGCTGGAATAATTGAGAACTTTAGAAAATTGAAAGAAGAAAGAAGGAAAGTAAAAGTGTTTTTTTTTGTGGACTTTAACGATCATAAAATATAAGAGTGTGTAATGATGATATCTCTTCGGGAATTAAAAATGGAACTTAAAAATATGAGAGAATTACTACAGGAAAGAGGTGAATCACTTTGTTCTGTGTTAGAAAAAATGGAAATGGCGATTGAAGAACAAGAAGAAAGAGCTTCAGAGGAGGAGGAGTCGACTCAAGGAGAAGACATTTTAAATAGACAATTAACACAAAGAACGCTACAAAGAAGTGGGGAAAGAAGGAAGGTTAAAAAGTTGAGATTTAAGAAGGCAATCAAAAGGGGAAATACCTGTGAAGTCAGGAAAGGCAGAAAGACCCAGCAGAAAAGAGGAAAGGAAGATATTAAGAAAGAGAGGGATATAAACTGGAATGAGAAAACATATGGGGAAAAGAGGGGGAGGAGAAGCAGTAAGAAACAGGTGCATGAAATAAAGGAATACGAAAATAGTAAAATGTTGAAAAGAAATTGGTTTTTCAGAGATAATGGTTGATGAATTAAAAAGGGGATTCTGCAGGGTGACAAGGGGTAATAAGAATATTTCTGCAATTAAAATATTTAGAAAATAGGATAATATAGATATTGATAACTCTTATTAAAAATTAAGGGGGAAAAATAAGCTGCAGAATCCAAATGAAAAGATGTAATGATTATTATTGTAACTTCCTAAAAATAATGGTTTATTGGGAATCAAGATGAGGGAATAAAGGTATATTTTAACCACTGAGGTATCACACTCAAAGCAGTAAAAGGGGGAAAACTTATACTTGTTTTTTTCTTTAGTGTTAAAACTTGTATTAATCTAGAATTTATAAAAAGAATGTGTAATGGAAAGGGAATATGACAGACTAAAGAACCAACTAAATTAATAAGTCAATATAGACTATTAAAATAAAGGAGAGAGATTGGCAACCTATTATTATTATTATTATTATTATTATTATTATTAGGCAAACACATATTGTTTATCTTTATTTTTAAAATAAATATTAAAGGATTATATTTGAAAAAATTGAAATGAAACAAAAAGATGTTTTCATTGAGATTAATGAAAGAGGCTAGAATTAATGTGTTTGTTTCTCTCCTTACTGAAAATTTGGAATGGAAAAGGTAATAATAGAATTAAGTATGCATATATGAATGTATAATTGCTGTCATATTTGTATGTAAAGGTGATGACCCGGAAATATGTTGTCCACTAAAAAGAGATTTTTGTTTTTATGTAAAAAACTGAATAATTTTTTTTTTAAAAAAAAGATCAGACAGGCGTCCTCTTATCATTTTCATGCTTATTTTAAATTTTATTTCTAGTGGTTTTTTTTCGGTTATTTTTTTTTGGTAGGTTGAGCTATAGTTTCTTTTTGCATGAAGACCAATGCAAAGAATGAGTTAAGCAGCTTTACTTTGTTTCTACTGCCTGTTACTTCCTTGCCATCTTCGCTCTTTAGTGGATCAACTGTTTCCTTGGCTTTTTTCTTGTTATTTATATGTTGAAAGAAACTTCTTTTATTATATTCGACTTTTGTTGCACATCTTTATTCATTCTGAGCCTTAGCTTTTCTGACTTCATCTTTGCAGATTCAGGCTATCTGCTGATACAGTGGAACCTTGGGTCACGAACGCTTTTGTTCGCGACCTAATCGGGTGACTACCAAAAATTTGGGGAAATTGTTGCTTCTGGTTGCAAACAGATCCTCAGGTGCTGATCAAATTCAGCCGCGGGGATTTTCCCAGCTGCGGTGATTTTCCCTGCTTTTCATGCACAGAATTGTAGGCACATGCGCAGTAAGTCTCACTTCTGGTCATGATCAAATCAGGTTGCAACCAAAGTCCTGGAATGAATTACGGTCGTGATCCGAGGTTCCACTGTATTCTGCCTTAGTTATGTGTCCTTCTTTCCATTTTTTGTACTTGTCCTTTCTGTCTTTCAGTTTATCTGAGAGATCTTTTTGCAACCATGCTGTTTCTTCTTGGATTTCTTGTTTTTTTTTCCCAGTGGAATTGTGTCGGTCTGGGCTTTTATGATTATATTTTTCAGAGTTTCCCTCACTTCTTGAGTTGTTTTCCCCTTTAGGATTTTCATCCTTGGAATTTTTCTCAGGTTATCACTGAGTTTGTTAAAATCAGCTCTTTTAAGGTTTAAGACACTGCTTGTGTTTGCATTATATGAAAAACTTTGAAAACTTGTACTACTTATAAAACTTATAAATGTAATTGCTGCCAGGTGAGTCATAAATTATATGTCTTCCCCACAGCCAATCCGCTTCAGCCAATCCTCCTTCCATGGGTATAGCACTTGAGCGAGCCACTGAAGATAAGTTTATATGAAAACTTTGAAAAACTCTTGCTGAATTTTAATGTTTCATGGGACAGAAATAAAGAAGCAAATGTGATTTTAGACCGTGGAAGTCATCCTAGTAAGCTTTAAGATGTAGTTTACAATAAATGTATTGTAGTTGTTAGGAATGATAGTCACCTAACAGTGGGTTGGCAATATATAAAAACCAGGATAGTCATTTAACACTCTTGTATCTTTAAGAGAATGCTGTAATTGTGATTGGCTGAGGTTCCTCCAACGGCCATAAGATGGAGGCAGAAACCTGGTTTGTTCATCTTGCATTTTCACTATTGCTTTTTGCCTCATCGTCGTTCTGCTTGGATTGCTGTGAGTCTTGCAACTGTTCACAAATTCCGTTTACTGAATTTCGTTTAAGATACTGATAAAGAAAATAACTTCGTTTTTGGATTTTCCCTGGACTGATTGTTTTGAATACTAGCTGTTTTAACCGTGTATGATTTGGACTGTTTGTTGGATTTTGTTTGCCCATTTACTGGAAGTAAAACTTACATTTTACTATTCAGTGTATCTGTGTGCTGGTTGTGTGTTATTCAACACCACTCTCACTATGTTCCCCTGAGTGCACTCATTCTCCTAACGGGGAATACCTCAACAGTAGTGAGTGGGATACAGGAGAGAGCAGGAAGTCTGCTCTGAACATGCTCCGAACACGAAAGTCTGCTCCGAACATGCAAAAAATACATTATTTTGAACGCTCTGGGCATGTTCCTTGTCCAGGGTGCTCCAAAAAGGAGAAGAGGAAAATTTGTTTCCTGGACTGTGTGCAGTTTATCTTTTTTTAAAAATTATTTTTTTTATTTTTATATTTTAAAAAACATCTCTTTTGGTGAACAATGTGATTCCAGGTTTTTACATTTCAATACAAACATGACCTTACTTACATATTCATATTTCATATTCAAATTCATATCCTATTATTACTTATCCCATTTTCTTTAAATTCTCAAATAATCTTATATTCATGACACTTATTTTATCCAATTCCAGTTATTTCATTTTTCTTTAAATATTCTCATGTCTTATTTTACAATATTATCTCATTACACATATTTAATTTTATTTATCACATTTGTAATTTTGTCACATACTGTTATTCCATTCATTACTCATTAAATTTGATTCTAATTCTAATAATTCAAAAGTTGTCCCCTTTAATTGTCAATTTGAGTTTGCCACCCCTTATATATTCCCTCTATTAATTCCCCTTTAATTCGTTATGAAAATTTACCATAATATAGTCATTTTTAATTATCACATTCTAGATTAATAACAATAATCTTCTAACTACTACATATCACATATGCATATATATATTTTAAGTCAGATTCCGCATGGTATTCTTTTTCTCAATCACATTCTAATCATCTATTATTTCAAAAATATTAATCTGTTCAATTAATTATAGAATTAATTTCCATTACAATTCTCATAATTTGTTTTAACTTTAGTCATCACTTTATTAAATATCAGTTAATATCCTTATAATAAATTCCCATTTCCACATCTATTCCAATTATATTTATATCTGATTTAACAATAATCTTTAAAAGAAAAAAAAGAGTATCAGTTCCCATCTTTCCTATTTTTAAATCTATATTCTTATATATCACAATACGTTAGCTTGCAGAATCCCCCTTCCTGTTCTTCTACTCATTGTCTCTCATCCTCCTGACCATATAATTTCTTTTCATTTTTGTTTGTTTTCTGCTTCCCATCATTTTTTGGTCCTTTCTCTTAATCCCCCTTTTTTCTTTTATTATTTGCTTCCGTTTCTACTCCAATTTTTGTCTCCCTCCCTCTCTTGATCTTTCTTCTGTAATTCCCTTTTCTGCTGTTTCCTTTTTACTTGTTTAACTTTCCAAACAATTCCCCCTTTAATTATCACATCAAACCTCAAAGTTTTAGCTTTAATTCCTTTTTTCCCTTGTTTAATGTTCGTTGTTCCACTTGTTCTTTAAAGCTGGTTTCCTCTTTATTTAACTCCTCCCCTTCTGGTTCTCTTTGTTCTTCTTTAGTCAGCGTCACCATTTCTAATTTTTGTAGTATAACACTGGACATTTCCAAGCTGACTGTGTGCAGTTGTGTGACTGTGTGAATGTCAGGCCGGCTTTATCCCACCCTTTGTGCAGACATCCATGTAGTTTTTCTGCTGCACTGTTCATTTTATTAATTTATTTAATTTCAATAGCTGCCCTACTCAATCAAATGATTCTGGGTGGCTTATAATTCTAAAGTTACAGAACTATTAAAACAAAAAGAATAAAACATCCAGAAAATAAATACAAACAGCAGTCAAGCTAATCAACTAACAGTAAAGGCAAGGAAAGGGGCCCTTCACCCATTCCGAGCTCCAGGGCCAAGTACCTAGCCAGGTTTTTAATGCCTGGTAAAGGCCAACAGGGTTGGGGCCATTCTAACCTCTGAGGGAGAATAGTCCACAAGGCAGGGGCTACAGCAGAGAAGGCTTATCTTCTAGTTCCTGCCAGTCCACACTCTTTGGCTGACAGGATCTGCAGCAGGCCCAATCCTGCTTCACCAGACCCGACTTTATTTTATGTTACAGTCTTTTAACTGAAGCAAATGAAATGCAAATATAGTCTGCGGCTTTATTTACAAGAAGGCCTCCAGATCCACCATAGACACTGAGGAAGAAGGAGGGAGGGAGGGAGGGAGGAAGGAAGGAAGGAAGGAAGGAAGGATGGATGGATTAGAGGCAAAAACTCTTTAGCAGTTTTATTTGCTGAATGAAAACATTGTAGCTCAGTTTCTTTTCATCAGATTAAGACTGACATTTTAGTTGACTCAAGGGGAAAAATATTGGATTTTGAAATTGAAAAAACAAAAATCAAGAAAACCTTATCAGCTTAGAAATGTATATAATATTTTATTTAGGGATTTCAACTAAAGAAAAACAATCATCCAGATTTTTCTGTACGTTCCTTTGGTATAGCAGATGAATGCTGATGAATTTTGTTCCTCTTCTTCTTTTTTTCTGTGCAGCTCCTGTCAAATTAATCAGAAAGAGATTTTGGCCAGCTCACTGTAAACCTACAAAGGCAATCATTGGAATGATCATTTCTTTCCTGATCTTCGGCCTTGTCCTCTTTTTCCTGGGTAAGGAATATGGACCCTAATACTTTTCCCTTGCAAACTTTTTTCTAACATGACTTAATGAAGCTGAAGGACCTCTGTCACTTAGATCAGAAACATAGAGCTGACCTTGCCAACTCTACTTCATCCAGTACAGGAAATTTCAGTTCCTATGTTTGGAAGAAATCTTGGTGTTTGAGAAGTAAAATGAATAAACATGCATTTCTTTATTTAGTGATTTTCTACCAGAAACACTAAAAGTGAAGTAGGTGGATCAAATGTGAGACAGATTGACCAAATTAACAGAAAATCCCACAAAAAAGGGATGCATGGCTGAATAAATGGATTTGCATCTGGTTTCTTGGATTGAAATCCACCATGCAAATCACTGCTCAGATCCATAGTCTCTATTAATCTGAGAATTGCAGGACAGAAGCTGTTAGAACATGGGGCTTTTATAACCAGATTGGGTTTTCTTAGAACTATCAGGTTCTAATTCAGCAGGAGGGTCCCATCCTAGCCATAAGAACAGGACTGGATAAGTTAGTGTCTATTCTTTCCATCTTTCTCTGTTCTAGGAACATTAATGCCATTAAACCACCAACAGGATGCCATTGAATGTCCACCAGACTGGATTGCACATCAAAGACACTGCTACAAACTTTCAGGAGAGGAAAAAAATTGGAAGGAAAGCCAAAATGTCTGTATTTCACATACTGCTTCCCTAGCCAAAATCACACCGGAGGAAATGGTGAGCAATGTAACTGTTTTGGCCATCATAAATCAGTTCCTAGAAATAATGTTGCTTCATTAATGGTGCATGTTCTTCTACATCTACAAGATGAAAAAGATAAATGATTTTTTCTTGATATTACTAAAACAAATCTTCTTAGATGCCTTTCTGAACAAAAGCTTCAAGATCCTTTGAATCTTCTCCAGGTTCCAAAATCTGTCAGTTTCACAAAGCAAAATCTTTTGATACAGAAAATTTAAAATCCAAAAAAACATTGGTCCAAATGTCACTGCCATCTATTTCTTTCATTTTCTCCTCCTTAGAATCTTGGAATCATCTGATAACTATCCCCAAATGCTTTGAAGATGTGAATTTCAGAGGCAGAGATAGAATCAGGAACCCCAAAGTAAAAAATGTAGATAAATGCCAACAATCATTCAAGGATAATCATTCAAGAAGTTTTACATTCTACTAAAGGTTTAATATTTACTTTGTAAAACTATGGATCTGCCATTTTGCCCCTTGCTAAAGGAATTACTAACTATGTTAATTAGGATTAGATTACTGTTTTAAATATATTTTTAGTTCTTTCAGCCTGTGTGTCAGATCAGAAATTTAGCTGGGAATTTAACAATACAACATTCTAACATGCACAATTTTTTTAAGGCTATCGTGAAGATGTTCACAAGAGACCATGTGTTCTGGATTGGCCTAAAGAGAGAACCAGGTCAGCCCTGGAAGTGGCTAGATGGAGAAAATGCAATGTGAGTCTTTCTCTTTTCCTCTCAGTTAGCAAGAGCTGAAAGTAAAATATTTCCACTGACTGTGCAAATTGATCTTAGAAAGAGCCTCCTGGCTGCCAGTATTCAGGATTTGCCCTTTAAAAAGATTTGGCCATTCTAATGTAACTCAAAATGCAAAAACCCTAACCCTAACCCCTCTACTTACAGCCATTCATTTTCTGACTGCTCAGAGTTACAGTGGAAGTGGAAAAAAACTTATGATTGATCCTTGCAGTTAAAACCATCACCGCATCCCCATGATCACCTGATCAAGATTTGGATGCTTGGCAATCCGCATGTATCTAATTACTTGGAAAAATTATGTGGCTACTCCTCATGGTGAGTCTGGGCACTTTACAGAAATAAAACAATACTAAACCCAATAAACCTCTACCTCAAAAATCAAACCAACCAGTTGATGGCTTCTATACTACCCTGGGGACCCCACATCTGCTGGCTAAAAGTAGTTACAATTTGCAGCATCCTGGAGTCAGAAGGAGCCAACAAGGAAAGCTAGATACTCTTAAAATCATTTGATTCATGTAAAAGCTTCAGTAATTCACTTAACAACCATGGCAAAAAAAAAAAAAAAGATTATAAAATGGAGCACAACTCACTTAAGAACTCCTCTGCTTAGCAATGGAAACTCCAGTCCAAATTGTGGTTGGAAATCAAGGATTGCTTGTACATTTCCAAATGGGTGAGTTATGGAACAATCTGCAGAATCATCCTTGAGGAGAGGCAAGGCAAGGCTCAGCTAGATGAACTGTAAACTCAGGACCCCTTTGGTGCTGCTAGGTGGGAAATACTCCCCACTTCCTCATTTCTGCCTCTTGCAGGATGGTAGTCACGGGAAATGGAGGAGACTGTGCGTATTTGAATGATGGCGACTCGGCCAACTCAGGGAGATGTACCACTGAACACCGCTTCCTCTGCAAAAAGATTTGATCCAAAGAATCCCGTAAGAAAATCCTACGTTCCTCATCTCACCACCCCAACTCCCTCCCTTTACCAGCATTCAATAGCCACTGAACATTGATTGTGTTAACATATTTGGGGTCCTTCTAAGTAACCCCTGAGATTGCCTTAGGGGATTAAGAGTAGGTGTAGTGACAATGCGGAAGAAGTCCTGGTATTATTTTGAGGAATTAAGGACATAGTTTGATTTTTCTTTCTTATAAAAAGAAAAGTCTAGGAGTTCAGAGCTCAATCTGAACTGGCCTGCTGGTTTTTCACACTTGCTTTCTGAAGGAGGAAAAGCAGGGATCTTCATATAGTTTCAAAGGGAAGAAAGTTTCAGACTTCCTATTCTGTGGGATCTGTGATTCTTTGTTCTTTGTGTACGTGCTAGGACAACGGAGTCTTGCGGAGGTTGGCTGGAACACGGAGCAAGGAACAAGGACAAATTGTTGCCATTTCTAAACCAGAACTGTAACAAGCTTGAATTTTGCAGCCTTGTACGCTTTATGTGAATGATCAGTGCATATTGTGTGGTGTAATGCGTTCGTGATAGGATGATAACAAAAATTGCTTCTAATAAAAGAGGGTTTCGGAGTTCGCTCTGGGCTCTCATCCCGGGACAACCTTGCGTTGTGTCTTCTTTCCATGAGAGACCACCACACTATTCGCATCCATGAGTCATGGGCCAGGCAATCAAGGTCAGGTCTTGACGTCTGCTGACCATAGAGGAGCCAGGATGTCATAGTGCTAGGTTTTGGTGGAAACTTTGGAGTTGTGTTGCTAAATAATGATTCAGTAGGCAGGGATATTGATGCAGTGGGAAATATCTCTTCAGCTGATTCCCTGTTCATTGTGTTTCATCTCAGAAAATCAAATTCTGCTTCTTCGCCTTTACTCAAATAAGATGCGTCCCCACCAAAGCTCAGAGGCCAAGCGGCCAAAATAATCTCCAAAAAGACAAAGCCACACTTGGAGTCTCTTTTGGAGCTCTGTTCCTAGAGTCCTATGAAGGGTTTCCTCACCCCTCCATCTGTGACCTTCCCTGCCAGCTTCTCTCTGACTTTTTGGGGAAGGCAGCAGAGAATATTACAATGGCAATCACATGATCACAGGGCCTTTGGCAACCAGTTGGAAATGCAATCTGCTGTGGCTATTGTGTGTGGGGGCAGAAGGCAGTGGTGGGATTCAAATTCTTTTACTACCAGTTCTGTGGGCGTGGCTTATTTGGTGGGCGTGGCTTGGTGGCCATGTGACCAGGTGGGTGTGTTTGGTGTTTGGTCTCCCATCTTCCTTCCTATTTTTTCTTTCTCTTTTTCTTTCTTTCCTTCTCTCTCCCCCTTCCTTTCTTTCTTGCTCTTTCTTT